GCTGCTGTGTTGGAAGGATGTGAAGGGCTGCCATGTTGAGAAGGATTTGGGGCTGCTGGGCTGAGAAGTATTCTGTGTGGCTGCTGTGTTGAGGAGGATTCTTAGGTTCTGTCTTATTGAGATGACTCTGAGGTTCTGCCATGTTTAGAATGATTGTAATGAGCTCCATGTTCAGAAGGATTCTGGGGGCCTCCGTGTTAAGAGGGCTCTTAGAGGCTGCCATCCTTTAGAGAATTCTCAGAAGGATATGAGGACTGCTGTATTTAGAAGATTCTGAAATTCTGCCATGTTGAAAATGATTTTGAGGGGCTGCATACTAAGGGGGATTCTGAGCTGCTGTCTTGTTAAGTGTTCTGAGAGCCTGCAGTTCTGAAAAGAATCTTAGTGGGTGCTGTACTTTGGAGGATTCTCACAGGCTGCCATGTTGAGAAGGATTGGAGGAGCTGCTTTGTTCAAAAGGATTGTGAGGGGCTTCCATGTTGAAAATGATTTTGAGGGGCTGTGTGTTGGGAAGGATCCTGAGGGGTTGCTGTGTTGGAAAGGCTTGTGAGGAGCTATGTGTTGGAAAGGATTCTGAGGGCCTCCATGTTGAGAAGAATGTTAGGGGCTGCCATGTAGAGATGTTCTGATGGTTTTAATTTCTGTGTTCAGAAGGCTGCTGCAGGGATACAGCATTGGGAAGGATCTGAGGTGCTGCCATGTTGAAAATGATTTTGACAGGTGGCCGTGTTGAGGATTCTGAATGGCTGCTCTTAGGGAAGGAAGTGAGGGACTGCTGCGTAGAGTAGTTTCTGAGGAGCTGCTGTGATGGGAAGGATTCTGAGGAACTACCTGTTTGGGAAGAGTTCTGAAAGGCTGCTGTGTTGAGAAGGATTCTGAGAAGTTATGGTGTTGGGAAGTATTCTGAGGGCCTCTCTGTTGAGAAGAATTTTTAGGGGCTGCTGTGCTTTAGAGGATTCTCAGAAGCTGCTGTATTGAGAAGATTCCGATGGGCTGATGTGTTGAGAAGGACACTGAGTGGCTGTAGTATTTGGAAGGATTCTGTGGGCTGCCATATTGGGAAGGATCTGAGGAGATGTGGTGTTGAGAAGGAGTTTGAGTGGCTGTCCCTTTGAGAAGGATCCTGAAGGACTTCCTCATGGATTGCTTTCTCAGAAGGATTCTGAGGGGCCTCAGTATTGAGAAGAATTTTAGGGGCTGCCATGTTGGGAAGAATCTTAGCAACTGTGGTGGTGAGAATGATTCTGAAAGGCTGCCATGTCAAAAAGATTCTGAGGACTTTTGTGGTGTGAAGAATCTGACAGGCTGCTGTATTTAGGAGGATTCTGAGGTAGTGTCATGTTGAGTAAGATTTTAAGGTGCTCTCTGTTGTAAATGATGCTGAGAGCCTGCTGCATTGGAAAGGATATGAGTGGCTGTTGTGTTGACAATGATTCTGAGGTATGTTGTGTTGGTAGGCATTCTGAGGTGCTGCTGTGTTGAGGAGGATCTGACTGGATTACGTGTTGAGAATGATCTGAGGGGCTGCTCTGTGTTAGGAAGGATTCTTAGGGGCTGCTGTGTTCAGAAGGGTTTTGAGGAGCTTTCATGTCAATGAGGATTCTGAGGGGCAGCTGTATTGGGAAAGGATCTGAGAGGTGTTGTATTAAGAAGGATTCTGATGGCCTGCCAAGTTGCAAAGTATCCTGAGGGATGTGTGTTGAGCAGCATTCTCAGAAGCTGTTCTGTTGTGGAGGATCTGAGGGGCTGCCAAGTTGAGAAGGATTGTACCTGCCTGTCCTGTTGAGGAAGATTCTGAAGTGCTGCATTATTGAGAAGAATTCTCAGTGGCTGCTGTGTTTAGAAGGATTCTGGGGCCTTCAAAATGATGAGAAGAATCTTAGAAGCTGCCATCCTTGGAGGATTCTCAGGGGCTGCTGTGTTGAAAAGGATAGGAGGGCTGCTATGTTCAGAAGATCTTGAGAGGCTGCCATGTTGAAAATGATATTGAACAGCTACCATGTTGAGGAGGATTCTGAGCTGCTACCTTGTTGAGAAGTATTCTGAGGGCCTCAGTATTTGGAAGGATTCTGAGGGTGCTGTGTTGAGAAGAATCTGAAGAGCTACTGTGTTGAGAAGAGTTTGAGAGACTACTGTGTGGAGAAGGAATTGGCATCCCACCCCAGTATTCTTGTCTGAAGAATCCCAAGGACAGAGAAGCCTGGTGGGCTACGTCTGAAGAGTCTCAAAGAGTCAGACATGACTGAACGACTAAACACAAGCATCCTGTGTTGAAGAGGATTTGTGGTGCTGCCATTCTGAAAAGGATTCTGAGGTGCCGTTATGTTGGGAAGCATTCTAAGGGGCTACAGTGTTCACATGGATTCTACAGGCCTCAGTGTTGAAAAGAAACTTAGGGGCTGCCATACTTTAGAGGATTCTCACTTGCTGCCATGTTGAGAAGGATCTGAGCATTGCTGTGTTCAGAAGGATTCAGAGGTGCTGCCATGTTAAAAATGATTTTGAGGGGCTGCCATGTTGAGAAGGATACTGAGGGTTTGCAGTGTTTGGAAGCATTCTGTGGGACTGCCATGTTGGCAAGGTTTTGATGTACTGTGGTTTAGATGGATCTTGAGGGCTACCATGTGAGAATTATAGAGGCTGTGGTTTTGAGAAGGATCTGGTGGGCTTCTGTGTTCAGAAGGATTCTGAGGGGCTGAGGGTTAAGGAGGATTCTGAGGTGTTGAGCTGAATAAGATTTTGAGCTGTTCCATGTTGAGAAGGATTCTGAGGGTCTGTTGTGTTGGGAAGGATCTGTGGAGCTTTTGTGTTGAGAATGATTCTGAGGCATGTGTGTTGGGAAGGTTTGTAAGTGGATGCCATGTTGGTAAGCATTTTGAAGCCCTGCAGTTTTGAGGAAGATTCTGAGGGGCTGTTATGTTGGGAAGAATTCTGAGGAGTTGCTATGTTCAGAGGACCTCTGTGTTGAGAAGTATCTTATGGGCTGCCTTGCTTTGAAGGATTTTCAGGGGGTCCTATGTTTGAAAGATTCTGAGATGCTGCTGTGCTGAGGAGGATTCTGAGGGGCTTCCCTGTCAGAAGGATTTAAAGTATCTCAGTGTTGAGAAGAATCTTAGGAGCTGTTATGTTGGGGAGATCTGAGAGCCTCTCTGTTGGGAGAAATCTGGGACTGCCCTGTGTTGGCGGATTCTCAGAAGCCGATGTATTGGTAAGGATCTGAGGGGCTGCTGTGTTTAGAAGAATTCTGAGAGGCTGCCATGTTAGGAAGGATCTGAGGTGCTGGCATGTTAAGGATTTTTGAGAGGCTGGAGTATTTAGACAGATCCTTGAGCAACTGCTGAGTTGATGAGGGTTTTGACGGGCAGCTGTTTTGCAAAGGATCTCAGATGCCCCCATTCTGAGAAGGATCTATGTGCTGCTGTGTTGCGGATTCTGAGGGAATCCGTTTGGGAAGAGTTCTGAGGGGCTACTGTGTTGAGAAGGATTCTGAGGTGCTGTAGTGTTGGTGGGGATTTTGAGGGCCTCCATATTGAGAAGAAGTTTGGGGGCTTCTGAGTTTTGGAGGATTCTCAGAAGCTGCTGTGTTGAGAAGATTCTGAGTGGTTGTCCTGTTGAGAAGGCTCCTGAAGGGTTGCCATATTAAGAAGGATTCCGAAGGCCTGCTGTATGAGAAGGATTGAGAGAGCCTCAGTCCTGAGAAGAATATTAGGTGTCGCCATGTTAGGAAGAATTTTAGCAGCTGCAGTGGTGGGAACAATTCTGAATGGCGGCCATGTCAAAAGGTTTCTGAAGGCTTTTGTGTTGTCAAGAATCTGAGGGGCTGTGGTGTTCAGGAGGATTCTGAGGTAGTGTCATGTCGAGTAAGATTTTGAGGTGTTCCATGTTGACAGGGATTCTGAGGGCCTGCTGTGTTGGGAAGGACCTGAGGGGCTGTTGTGTTGAGAATGATTCTGAGGCATGCCATGTTGGTAAGAACTCTGAAGAGCTGCTGTGTTGAGGAGTATCTGCGTGGATTACAAGTTGAGAAGGATCTGAGGGCCTGCTATGTTGGGAAGGATTCTTAGGGGCTGCTGTGTTTAGATGGATTCTGAGGGGCTGTCATTTTGAGAAGATCTCAGGGATTGTTGTGTTGAGAATTCTGAGTGGCTGCTGTGTCAGGATTCTGAGGGCTCTTGTGTTGAGAAGTATCTTCGGGGCTGCCATGTTAAGAAGTATCAGAAGAGCTGCGTGGTGAGACAGATTCTGATGGCCTCTGTGTTTAAAAGAATCTTAGGGGCTGCTATGTTGAGAAAGATTCGGAGAGGGTTTAGGGTTGAAGAGTATTTGAGGTAGTGTTGTGTTGAGTACATTTTGGAGGTGCTCCATGTTGAGGGTTGTGGAAGCCTGCTGTGATGGAAGGGTCTGAGGGGCTGTTTTGCTAAGAATGATTCTGAAGCATGCCATGTTAGTAAGAATTCTGAGATGCTGCTGTGTTGAGGATGATTCTGGGGGCTGCTATGATGAAAATGATTTTGAAGAGCTGCTGTGTTGAGGAGGATTCTGAGTTGCTGCCTTGTTGAGAAGGATATTGAGGGCCTTCAGTGTTTGGAAGGATTCTGAGGGACTGCCATGTTGGGAAGGTTCTGAGGTGTTGTGACTTAGATGGCTCCTGAGGGCTACTGTGTGAGAAGGATTCTAGGGGCTGTTGTATTGAGAAGGATGTGGGTGGCTTCTGCTTTCAGGAGGATTCTGAAGGGGTGCAGTGTTGAGGGGGGGTCTAAGGTAGTGTGGAGTTGAGTAAGATTTTGAGGTTGAGAAGGATTCCTAGGATCTGTCATTTTGGGAAGGTTTCAGGCTCAGGTGGCGGATCCCCAAGGGCCCACAGCCTGTGTGATGTGGAGCAGAAGCAGCTAGCTCAGCCCCGCCCTAATTCTCCTAGTCCACTCGGGCCATCTGATAATGGGGTCACCCTGGGGTGGGCTCTCGGGGCTCGCTGCCTCTCCTTCCCGCCCTCCCCGCAGTGTGGGACTTCCTCCTGCCCAGCGCCCCGCCGGCCCCCCAGCCCTGGTACACCGACGAGCGCTTCACCCTGACCCTGCTCTGCGCGCTGGTCATCCTGCCCCTCTCCACGCCGCGGGAGATCGGCTTCCAGAAACACACAAGGTACGGGCTGCAGACCCCTCCTGGGGGCAAGAGCTGGGGCTGAGTCCCCACCTTGGCTGGCGTTTGGGGGTGGTTTCTGTCCACCTGGGATAGGGGAGCTGCCAGCATGGTTCTTTGCATTGGGAGAAGAGGAAAGAAATGTTAAATTACGAAAGTCATTCGTGTGCGTGATAGAAAATGCAGATAAACAGAAAAGAAAATTGCCTGTAATAACAGGGCCTCCATTTTGTTAGTTAATGATCGCAGGCTTTTTCTGCACCCACACACACACAGACAGGCATGGAGACACACACACACACTTTTTTCATTTCACAGTCTGAGGCTGCACATATACTTTTGAGAAAATAAAGTCTGGCAAAAACCTTCACACAAGTGTGCCGCCCACCTTTCCCTGCCGTGGAGAGCAGTGGAGCTGAGAAACAGCGGGCAGGACCCCAGAGCCCCGGGCGCCCCCAGCCCTCTCCAGCTGGTCCTTCTGCACGCTGTATTGTGGCCGCTTAGATGCTGGATCCCAGGGGCTGTGTGGGCACATATACTTTTGAGAAAATAAAGTCTGGCAAAAACCTTCACATAAGTGTGCCGCCCACCTTTCCCTGCCGTGGAGAGCAGTGGAGCTGAGAAACAGCGGGCAGGACCCCAGAGCCCCGGGCGCCCCCAGCCCTCTCCAGCCGGTTCTTCTGCATGCTGTATTGTGGCCGCTTAGATGCTGGATCCCAGGGGCTGTGTGGCTATTGCTGGAGAGGTGGAGCGCCCGTAGTGATCACAGCCTCGCAGGTCCTACTGCTTGGCATGAGGGTGTCCCTGCCTGGAATGCCCTTCCTGCTGTCCCCATTGTACAGATAATTGGGGCCCAGATAGGAAGAACTTGCCTGACCCCTGGCCAGTGTGGGCTGAGCTCACACCGAGACCCACTCTCTATGGCTCCCCAGGTGCTGCCTCACCACTGTCGCCCCCTGACGCCGCACTCTCTCGTGTGTTAGCATCCTAGGCACCCTGGCCGCCTGCTACCTGGCCCTGGTCATCGTGGCGCAGTACTACCTCAGGCCCCAAGACCTCGCCCATGAGCCCCGCCTGGCATCCAGGTGGGTCTGGGGGATGGCTTCCGGGGGCTTCTGTGAGGGGCGAGGGCAACTTACCCACCCTCCGTGGTTTGCACAGAGCCCTGGCTCGTCTCATGAAATTCTTCAGGTCTCTGATGCGGTAGAGCTGAGCAAAAGCTCCTTTCCTTGTTCAGAACCACTCAGCTGCTGATAGTGAGGACATGGTGAGGGACAGGGAAGAGCTACACACCCCGCCAGCCGGGGGCTCCTGGGCTGTTGCAGATGTGCCCCACAGTGTGGAAGCAACAGGACCAGCCAGCAAGATGCGGAGGCCAGAGAGGCCTGAGCGAGCCAGAAGTGGAGGAATCCTGTAGGGATTTGAAGTTGCTGGGAGGACTGCTGTTTTGCATGGAAGCCATGTCAGGGTTTTGATCACAGCCCGGCCTTGTAATGAAATCTGGTGGCAGGCCAGCTCCAGGGGCCTGTGACCTGTGACGTCACCTCAGTCCCAGGCTCAGAAGGGCTCCGCCCTTGGTTTAACACCCTGCTGTCACCATCTTGAGATTCTTCATGGCTCCTGAACAAGGGCTGGCATGTTCATTTTGCACGTGGTCCCACAAATCCAGGAGGGGCAGGTCCTTCCTGCCCCCTCAGTGTCCTGAGCTGCCAGCGCTTTTTGGTGCTCCTTGGCCTGCAGGATGTGGACCCTCCTGGAGAATAGGTCAGAGGTGGAGCAGGAGAGAGAGGAGAGTCTGGGGTGACTCTGAGCTTTGAGCAGGGGGACGGAGGGCCATGCTGTTTCCTGGACTGTGTGGGATGGGGAGGAGCAGGTGGCTGGGGGAGGCTTTTGGTGGTGACATGTTAGGTGGGAAAGGCTTTGAGACACTAAAGACATGAGGGAGCTGTCAGATCGGAGTTCAGAGAGGCCCCGGCTGGAAGGAGAAATGTCAGCCCAGAGGTGGCATGCAAGGGCTGTGTGAAAACTGTAACAGCCTGTGGTCCTCCACCCGGTCCTGGGGGCCCAGGAGAGGAATGGCAAGTCGGGAGCACTGTTCGCCTCCTGGAGCTGCTTCTTCTACCACAAACTGGGAGGCTGAAAGCAGCAGAAATCCCTCCCCTTGGTTCTGGAAGCTAGAAACTGAATATGAAGGTGTCAGCAGGGTTGCGCTCCCTCAGGAGGCTCTGAGGAGGGTCCTTCCTGCCCCCTCAGTGTCCTGAGCTGCCAGCCTTCTTTGGCGCTCCTTGGCCTGCAGGCGCTTCACTCCAGCCTCAGCGCCATCCTGACATGGCTCTCCCTGGGTATGTGTTTTCTCTTCCCTTAAGGGCACCAATCGTTGGATCAACTCCCAGCCTGCTCCAGTATGACCTCACCTTAATTTAACCAGTTATATCTACAGAGACCCTTTTTGCAAATAAAGTTTCATTCTGAGATTCCCAGTGGATATAAATTTGGGGGTGGGGGCAGTCACTATAAACCCAGGACAGATGATGATAGAAGCTGGATCTCAGAGGTCAGTGAGCAAAATTTCAAGAATTTTAGAGTGTTCACCACCAAATACTGCTCCTGGGTCACATGGGATTGAGCCCTGGCGCTGGATTTAGCCACAGAGGCCAGTCTTGATGTGGCTGAGTCTCGTCAGGGCAGGAGCTGGGGATAAGGCCCAGGTGGATTGGGGTCAGGAGAGAGGTCTTCTGAGCAGGGGAGGAGAGGAGTGGGCAGGAGGTGGGGCTCAGCGGCCCCCACACACCCAGACACTGATGGGGTAGTCCCAACAGAGTGGGAAACCTGGCACGAGAGGGCTGGATCCACTGCTGATCTGCGGCCCTGAGTCCACTCGGGAGGGTCTTGTGCCCTGGAGGTGCATCCTCGGGGCTGGAGCTCAGATGGCACCACCCACAGGGACAGGAGGGGACAGTGCACGTGGCTCAGAGGATGCAGGCAGGCAGATGGAGCAGCGGAAACGTGGGCTCTGAGAAACCGGCCGTCTGCTGACAGTGCTGTTGAGGAAGGTCTGGGAAGGCGGGGCTTGGCTGGGGGGAGCCCCGGGCTGCATTCAGAGTTAAGAGTCAGCCGGAAACACCGCACAGAAGGGAGATGCCACTGTGCAAGCCTCCTGTGGCTGCTGTAGCAAATTACTGCCAAACACGGTGACTCAAAACTACACAAGCTTATTATCTTCTGATGTCAGAAGTCCAAAATGAGTCTCACTGGGCTGAACGCGAGGGGTCAGCCATGCTGTGTTCTTTCGGGAGGTCTAGACAAGAATCCATCTCCTGGCCTTTCCCAGTTCCTAGGGGCACCCACGTTCCTTGGCTCGTGGCCCCTCCACAGTCTTCACAGCCATAAAGGTTCCATCTCTCTGATCTTGCTTCTGCGGTCACAGCTCCCTCTGACCATAGCTGGGGAAGGTTTTCTGATGGCAAGGATCATTATGATATATGGGGCCTAGATAATCCGGGGTCATCTCCCATCTCAGAGTCCTGACCTTCACACCTGCAGAGTCCCTTGTAGGTTATAAGGTCACAAACTCCCAGGTTCCCAGGATTAGGATGGGGGACTCTTTGGGGACCATTATTCTAGCACAGCCAGGAAACCCTGGTTGTGTAGTGGGTGCTATTTATGCCCCCCCCACAACTGTGTGTTCCCAAATCTGCTGGAGGTCAGAACCTGGGGCTGCTTGAAATGGAAGCCGGAGGGCCGGCCACCCATTGGGGGCCACTGAGAGGGTTTGACCTCAAGAGTCTGCCCCGTGCACTCCTCAGTTCTCTTAGGCCGCTTAGATGTCAAACCATCCTTGTCCTATTGGGGTCTGTTTGGATGTTGCCTGTGCCCTGCCCCCCCACCCCCAGCCCCTAACCTCACTGGGGACAGGCAGCCTCCAAGGAGGCTGGGAGTTCCTCCTAGCCATGTCCTGCCCACATTCTGCCTGCGTGGAGACTGTCAAGTTGTCAACCATCAGCCCAGATGTACTTAAAAGTGCAGCACTTCACATGCAGCTTCTGCCACCCCTCCACGCTGGAGTGGACGTGGTCATTAAAGTCTACCTTAGAGTTGTGCTTTGTTACAGCTCGCTTGTCTGATTAAAACTCGTCTCTAGGTTGAAGGTCGCTTTGAGTGTAACTGTGACAAACGCCCGTTCTCGTCTCTTTGCAGCCCCTCCTCCTGGACCTCTGTATTTAGTGTCTTCCCCACCATCTGTTTCGGATTTCAGGTAACCTCGGCGTCTGTGTTGAGGAGGGCAGCATTTGCAGGCTGTGGTGACTTCCTGCTCCCTTGGGGGCGAGTGGCCTCCCTGTCGGGGGTGGGGGAGGTTTGCAAATGTGTTCCGGGATGAACCAGGCTGTCTCTAGGGGACCGTGCCTATGGGTTGGCATCTGGGCTCAGAGAGCTCTGAATTTCCCAGTTCAACTTAGGAACTGGCTCCACTGACCACCACCAGCAGCAGCCCATTTGTTGGGTCTGAGGTCGAGTGTGGGGGTCCGGAACCTGTGCCCTCCTTTGCAAAGTTCTGGTGGCAGTGTCACCCCGCCTGGGGACCCAGAGCCACCTTCCTGCAGGTGGATTCTGCCGCAGGGGCTAGAGGCTTGCAGGCTAGGAGGACAGGAAGGTGTGCAGGGGTGGGTGCTGGGCAGGATATATAGAATCTGATAGAATGTCGTGGAGTGAGGGCTTCTGTGTGTGGAATCTAGTGGAGGGGCTTCTGATGCAGCTCTGGGGTTGGGGGCAGTTCAGAGATGCTGTTTGCCAGGCGCTGATGCCTAAGAGGAGTCTTGAGGAATGTGTGGGAGTCGGCAGGTGCAGGGAGATGCTTCCGCTGGAGATCCACGGAGGGTAGGGGTCCCAGGCTGGAGAGCTTCTAAGGTCTGGGTGAGGTGGGTGCTTGGCGAGAGGCTGGAGATGGCTGTAGTGGGGGGTTGGGCTCTGCTCCCTGCCTTCTGGTCTCTCTTGGGGTTCCTCAGTCTCACTGCAGGTTGCAGCTGACCCCCTTTTTCCATTGCTTATTTTGGAAAGATTTGCTTCTCTCCTAAAGACAACCACCTACCCACCACACTGACAGCAAAACCACCCCATGTAGAAGCATGTTCACAAGGCAGAGGGGCTCAGGACTGATGGGATCTCAGCTTCCTAGCCCCAGTGTCTTCTCCACTTACCCAAACATCAGCTCCTCTTTCTGTTCTTCATCTTGTGTCTTCTCTGAGAACCATTTCTTGGGGGGGGAAAAAAAATTCTGAAACATTTCCATTTCTCTTTATTATAAATGAGTTGTTGTATCGCTTCTGGGACTTAGCAAGCCGCATACAGGATTTCTCACGTTTCGTCCTACACACCCAATATTTTGAAAGATGTAAAGTGATGATTTTGCTGTCAACTGTCTGGATGGAGTTTAACCAGCCCTCTCTCGGCTGCCTGAGCACCATATGGTGTAGCGGGCTCGCGCCAGCAGAGGGGAGGGGGGCCGCTTTCCAGATGCTTGGAGGGGGTGCCCCCCTCACCTTTGCCTCGGCTCCCTCATCTGATTCTCCTAGCAACCGAGGCCTGGGCTGCAGTTTCCAGGGACACGGGATGCAGAGACAGGGAGTTAGAAAGAGGTGGATTGTGGGGTGGGGGTGGGGCTGAGGACCAGTTGCTGAGGCCAGGGAAGGGGCTGCTAGGATCCAGCTTGTGCAGTTGGGAATCTGGGGGTTGGGGGACTAGCTGTAGGGGAAGGTGGAAGGGAGGAGGGTGAGGGGTAGGGCAGGGCTGTACTGGGAAGTGGGGAGTCCCTGTCGTCGTCAGGAGTTCTGCCTCAGTTCAACCACACCGTTTCCCACACGCTTAGCAATGGGGACCCCTCTCCCACCTGTGCAGAATCAGAGAGAGGGGCTTTTGGGGAGCAGGGGTTGGGGTGAGGCTTTGCTCCAGCCACCCTGGCCACATGTAATAGTTCTCCTTTGTTTTAATTGAGGCATGATTGATTTATGATATCATGTTAGTTTCAGGTGTATAGCACCATGATTCTGATAACTGAATACATGTATATGTATGTTCTTTTTCAGATTCTCTTCCTTTATAGGTTGTTACAAAATACTGAGTAGAGTTGCCTGTGCTATAAGTGGATCCTTGTGGGTTATCTGTTTTATATGTAATAGTGTGTGTATGTTAGTCCCAAAGCCCTAATTTACCCCCCACTCCCCTTTCCCCTATGGTAACTAGAAGTTTGTTTTCTATGTCTGTGAGTCTGTTTCTGTTTTGGAAATAAGTTCACTTGTATTTCTCTGTTTTTTTTTTTAAAGATTCCACATATAAGTGATATCATGATATTTGTCTTTCTTAGTATAATAATCTCTGGGTTCTTATCTGTTGTTTCAAATGGCATTATTTCATTCCTTTTTATGGCTGAGTAATATTCCGTCGCACGTCCGTACACCACATCTTTCTCCATTCCTCTGTCAGTGGACACTTAGGCTGCTTCCATGTCTTGACTATTGTGAATAGTGCTGCAGTGGATGTTGGGGTGCGTATATCTTTTCAAGTCCCATTCCTCCAGATACGCGCCCAGGAGTAGAATTGCTGGATCATATGGTAGCTCTATTCTTAGGTTTTTTAAGGAACCTCCATACTGATCTCCGTAGTGGTTGCACCAACTTACATTTGCACCAGCAGTGTAGGGGGCTCCCTTGTCTCCACTCCCTCTCCAGCATTTGTTATTTGTAGGCTTTGAGGATGGCCGTTCTGACTGGTGTGAGGTGGTATACCTCATTGCAGTTACCATTGTTGAGCACCGTTTAATGTGCCGGTTGGCCATCTGTATGGCTTCTTTTCTCTTGTTTCTAAACAGCTCAGCAGCTTTGAGATATGACTTACATGGGGTGCAACTCACCCCTAGGTCTTTGGTATGTTCACAGCCATCACCACAGTCAATTTTAGAACATTTCCTCACCCCCCAAAGAAACTTGTACCTGTTAGCCATCACTTCCCTTCCCCACCTCGTCCCCGCCCAGTCCCTGGCAACCAGAGTCTTTCTCAATGTCTCTGGATGTGCAAAGTAGATAGTCCTCTGTAGCTGGCTTCTTCCACTCTGCATGGTGATTTCGAGGATTGTCTGTGTGGTGTGTGTGTCGGGACTGCATCCCTTTTCACGGCTGGTGATGCTCCGCTGTCTGCTGAGTCCACGGCTTGCTTTCCCATCCCTCAGCTGGGGGACGTCTGAGCTGTTTCCACCTCTTAGGCACCACGTGCTCCTCTGCCCCACACCCCATCACTTCGTGACTAGTCAGGCTGCTCTTGGTCAGACGCTGTTCTAGATGCTGTCCCAGAAGGACAGCCCTGCCCTCATAAGTTTTATTCCCTCGAATAAGACCAGGAGGAACATGACCCAGGAGTCTTGGGACCCACAGGGAGGAGGGCAGGGCTCCATCCAGCCACCACCAAGCATCTTTTCCCCAGGCCTGGGTTCCCGAGTGCAGGAGGCAGGGCATTGATGCCTGCTGGTCGAGGGTCCTTTTGTATTTTGGGGGGATTTAAGTGCCCACTCCTTGGCTGAGCCGGCCTGCAGTGGGCTTCCATGAGGTCAGGGAGGTCCCTGAGGCTCGCCTATTGTAGAAGGTGTGGTGGGCTTGCCCTGGGCTGCATGCCACCTCTGTAGCTGGAAGCAGGAGTCCTGCGGCCGAGGTGCCCCAGCCACTGCCAGTGTGTGGTCCACGAGGCTAGGGGCTGTGGGGCTGGTTGAGGGGCTACCCCAGACTCACACCGAGGGGACCAGTGAGGGCCTGAGTGTGAAGAACTGGGCTGGGCGCCGGGAGGCCTCACGACTGCAGGTGGGGCAAGAGGGATGGATGATCGAGTAATCCCAGGAGGGCCCTCAGCCAGGGGCCAGACTCCACACTGGGGATGAGCGAGGCGAGTGTGTCTGCTACCAAACACCCAACAGATGCTGAGCCAACAAGCCCAGCTGTGCTCACGTGGGGGCCAGCAGGAGAGGGCTTTCCTGAAGGTTGAGTAGGAGCTGGCTGGACAAGGGGACGCCCCCCGCAGAGCACACAGCACAGGCAAAGGCCCTGAGGCAGTGGGAGGGACCGCTGTGGGCTGAGCTTGGTGGTGAAGGGGGCTCTTGAGTGTGGCGAGTGGCAGGCCTAGATGGTCATCGTGCAGGTTTTGATCAGAAGGGAGTAAGTGAACATGATGGTGGGAACCCTGTCCCGCGAGCCTGGGAAGTTCCCCAAACCCACAGGGTGTGTCCAGAAACAGCAGCTTCTCCCTGGCTGCCAGGACCTGCCCCGAGAACATCACATCGTAGGTGGGCTCTTGGCAGTGGTATATGTATTTTAGATTTTTAAAAATGTGATATAGTACATAAAGTGAAAGTGAAGTCACTCAATCATGTCCGACTCTTTGCGACCCCATGGACTGTAGCCCACCAGGCTCCTCCGTCCATGGGATTCTCCAGGCAAGAGTACTGGAGTGGGTTGCCATTTCCTTCTCCAGGGGATCTTCCTGACTCAGGGATTGAACCCAGGTCTCCCACATTGCAGGCAGACACTTTAACCTCTGAGCCACCAGGGAAGCCCTGATATAGTACATAAGTATGTGTGCTCCTACAAAACCATCACCCCAGTGGGGACATAGAACATCATCAGCCCCCCGGGATGCTCCCTCAGGAGCACCATCCACCCACCCATACCACTACTCTGCTCTCTGTCACCATAAATGAGGGCTGTCAACTGGGTTAACTTTGTGCCCCTCCCCCAGGGGACACCTGGCAATGTCTGCAGACACTTTTTTTTGATTGTCACACCCGAAGGGGGCGCTCCTGTCATCTCATGGGTCAAGGCCGGGGGTCTGGTCCACGTCACACCGTGCGCAGCACAACCCCCAGCATCAACAGTACTGTGATTGAGGACCCCATCCTGGCTTGTTTGACTTGTTACTTTTAACTTCACATACTTGGAAACATTCTTCTTCTCTGGCTTCTTTTGCTCCACGCGCCGCAGGGCCTCTGTGACAGGGTATGCAGTTGTGTTTACCCTTTTCAGTGCTGTGTAATATTCCACACATGAATATCTGATGACTGACTTCTCCCTTCTGCTAGTTGGTGGGCTTTTGGGTCATTGCTCATATTTTGGGACAGTGAGACTCTTTAGACGGTGCCAGGTGATTCTAGTGCCCAGCTGGCCTGAGCCCCACTGACCCTGCCCCCCCTTGCAGTGTCACGAAGCCGCTGTGTCTATCTACTGCAGCATGCGCCACCAGAGCCTGGGGCACTGGGCGCTGGTCTCCGTGCTGTCTTTGCTGGCCTGCTGCCTCGTCTACTCGCTGACAGGTAGGGCCCGCCTGGGGTGCCCAGGACCTGGGGGTGGAGCAGTAGGAGAAATTGGAATCATATGTGACCTGGGCACAGCGCTAAGTGGTTTGAGCACCTATGTGTCTTTGGTCCCTAACGCCCCTGGGAGAGTCCATGATTCATAGAGGAGGACACTCTACCCAGAGGATTGCCTTGGCTCATCCAGGGTCTCCCAACCTCACGTGGGAAAGCTGAGACAAAAACCCTGGCCAACTGTCTCCCACCGCCTGCCCTTACCCGCCCCATGCCCTCTCCTGCCAGTTTGGAAGGAAGGCAGGAGTGATGCTGTCAGAGTGTTACATCTGCTGTGCTTTACAGGACACCCTCTCGGGTACAGTGGGTTTGAACATCCACACACTGGCACGGGAGGGTCTTCAGAGGTGGCAAGGTGTGGCTCACAGAAGGGCTGCCACACCCGAGGTCCCACGGCTCATCCAGCCCAGGGCCCAGGCTCAGGCTGATTCCTGGTTGCTTTCCTCCAGCCCGGCAGCTTTCTTTCTTTCATTGGCCTGTCAGAGCCTCTGATTCAGGAAGCCCCAGGGTGGCCACAGACGTATTGGGGGCCTGGACATTTGCTGGGTGACCTCTGTCTAGCAGGGCTCTGTGGCCCCTGGGTTGGACCCTGTGATTGATGTTCTGCAGATGCTCGGGGGCCAGCAGGATCGTGGGGTGGGCAAAAAGCCAAAGCGCAGAGGTGGGGTCTCAGGACAGGGCAGGTGACTGGAGCCCGGAGGCAGTGCTGGGTTGTGGGAGAGGGACCTGACCGCTACTGTAATAAGCTATGTTATTCCAGACAGTTGTTGACCCTGGGCCTTGATTTTTCCATCAGGAAAGTGGGTGCATGGCCAGCTTCTTCTTCTCCCCGACTATGAGAGTCGGGGAACAGGGCACAGAAAGTATTATTCAAAGTGCTTCCAGTCCATCCGCCCCTGAGTGGGAGCCTTGTATGTGGACCCTGAGCCGTTTGGGAGAAGGACAAGGGACAGTGTTGCCTGGCAGGACTTGAAGTTAGAAGAGCTGAGGATCCTGTAGGCAGAGGACAGGAAAGCCTGGGGAGGTGCTGGAACCTTCTGTCAGCTAAGGGGAAACCTCGGCGGCGGTGGAGGTGGGTGCCGCCAGTGTGTTGGGGTTGAGATAGGGGGCGGCAGTTTTCTCACCAGCTTTCCTGGGCTCCCCTGTGGCCCTCGCAGGTGTGTACGGCTTCCTGACCTTCGGGACAGGCGTGTCTGCTGACGTCCTGATGTCCTACCCAGGCAGCGACGGGGTCGTCATCGTTGCCCGGGTCCTGTTCGCCGTGTCCATCGTGACCGCCTACCCCATCGTGCTCTTCCTGGGAAGGTGAGGCCAGCTCGGGCACACCCGTCCATCAAGCACTGGCATGTGCTGGGCACCATGCCAGCCTGTGTGTCATGGGGACAGTCGTCACCTCCCTTTCCTGGAGGAGGAGATGGGGCAGGGGAGTCGGGTGGTTTGCCCAGCTGGTGTCAGGACTGGAGCTTGGTGCCCTGGCCAAAACTTGACCTCCCGGCGAGGCCCCACCCCGTCAGCTGCTCATGTGCGGGGGTCCCTGGGGACCGAGGCCCTGGTGTGGAATGGGAGCCCAGCTGGGTGTGCGGGGCTCTGGGGGACTCTGGGACACCCAGCAGTGGGTGGGGGTGGGGCTCCCAGGGGAGCCCATGGGAGCCCTGTGGTTTGTGGCCTCCAGGTCGGTGATGCAGGACTTCTGGAGGCGGGGCTGTGGTGGGGCTTATGCGCCACGGGCCCTGGCCGAGGCCTCGGGGCCATGGGTCCGGGTGCCGCTGACCGTGCTCTGGGTTGCCACGACGCTTGCCATGGCCCTGTTCCTGCCTGACCTCAGCGAGATCATCGGCATCATTGGCGGCATCAGCTCCTTCTTCATCTTCATCTTCCCAGGTGAGGCCATGGCTCCCCCAACCGCCCACCTGCGGGTCCTTCCCGGCTCCCCGCCGTGGGGAGGCCACGTGGAGGTCAGGGTGCAGGGGGCGGGAGTCCGTGTAGATAGGATGGCTCCCAGCCCTGTTTACTGAGCCGGGCACAGGGCTGGAGCTCTGCACACCTTCCCTCATTAAATACCTCAACAGCCCTTGATGGACATATGAGGTGGGGTGCTATTATCAACCCACCCCACAGACGGGAAGACTGAGGTCTTGAGGCCTCTCATGTGGAATAGGTAGCATGTAGCAGGTCTGAGTCAACCTCAGTCACCCTCTCAAGGCTGCCACTCACTGTAGAATTTTATCTTATTTAAATGTTTTCAACTACATGAAACTCGTGTGGTTCAAAAGTGCCCCTCAAACACCTTCCTCCTTCTCCCCTAAACCTGGGAGGTGAATATAGTTTCCATTACGGGTGGGTTCCTAGGAAACCTTCTCAGTGTTAGTGAGGATGATGTGAAATTCCTGTTGAATTGGCCTGACCATTATCTCGGCCTGGGAGACGCAGGGTAGCCAAGGCTGGGGCTCCCGAGGGAGGAGGAGCATACAGGGGCCAAAACCCCAGACCTGGGCGGCCCCTGGCGCTGGAAGGCGGTTTCAGATGGGAGTGGGATCCGATTCTCTCTGCCACCCCCCCCACCCCCACGCCACCCCCAGCCCTGGTCTGGGTCAGATGGGCTCGGCCATGCAGTATCTTAAACACACAGGATGGGCTTGGCGCTCGTGTCCTGGGTGGGGCCTTTTAGCTCCAGCCATTTCCGTGCTGGAAAGGACCAGCTGGGACAGGCTTGGAAGCGGGGAGAGATCACAGGCTCTTTAGGCCCAGCTGTCTGACTTTGAGTCACAGCAGCACCATTAAAAAAAAAAAGGGGGAAAAAAAAACCCAGACAACACAGGCAGCTGGCGGCTGTCAGATGCGTCTTGGGTGTCCGTCCCCGACCTGACCCTGACTCGCACCGTCTCACCAGAGACGAGTGTGGCTGTCACTGTTGCTGGAGAGACTCCGGTGCTAGGGGGTGTTGAGCAAGGACCCCACAGCGGTGCCGTGGGCTGTGCGCTCTGCCCTCTCACCAGGGGCCAGGGGAGTCCATGGAGCTACTGTGGGCAAAGGCCCTGCTGGCCTCTCGGGTCCCTGGGGGCTGCTGGGTGTTGGCTGAGCCCTGTAGAGCTCGGGGTTGCTTTGGGTTCAGACAAAGAGCTACAGTGACCCCAGTGCTCCCCCGCAGGTCTGTGCCTCATTTGTGCGGTCAGCGTGGAGCCCATCGGACCCCGAGTTAAGTGAGTGAGTGCATGCAAGGGCGGCGACTTGGGTGTGTGCGGGGCTCGGCTCCAGGGGCGTGAGACATGGTCAGGTCTGCGGGGTCCTGCCGAGGAGGGAACTGCTGGTCAGGCCGGGAGGGGCCCTCGTCTGCACAGTGATGGGTAGCTGAGCCGGGAGGGTCCAAGTCAGCGCCCTGCTGAGTCCATGTGTCGCCTCCTTCCACACCAAGGGCTGTGGTCTGTGGTTGGAGCGGGCTGTGGACTTGGGGTCTTCCTGGCAGCTGGAGCGCTGTAATCGAGCACCCTTCTCCAGAGCAGGGTGGGCACAGGCTGGTCCTGTCGTCCCGTAGACCCTCTTTCCCCCCGAGGTCATGGTCATGGGCTCCAGTTGGGTGTGGGGTGCCCCCACTCAGCCCCGTACAGAAAGATGTGCTCACGTCACAGCAGCCATGAACGTGGGTCCCACCTGCGGGCCTGTGCCTCTTTCTCCCCTTCCTCCGGCCACACGGAGCCCAAGCTTGCTCTTCCCACAGCGGCAGACTCGGCCGGGTTCCCTGCTGGGTTGCGAAGTGTTTTTCTGGAAGCCTCTAAAGCTGACTTGGGCTGAGCACCAGCCCCGATGGCCTGTGGTTTGTTCCCTGTAGCGCTCTTTCAAGTGTTGCTGCTTTTGTGTGGCGTCTCTGGCCAGGTTCACGGAGCGTTACTGATGGGCTTTCAGGGGATTTTTAATCCAAGCACTGCCTTAGGGCCTTCCGATCCTCCAGAGCTGCTCCGAGGAGCCCGCAGCCCCGTCACATTCCCTCACTCCCCACTTCAGCCGGGTGGGTGTTCTTGGCACTCAGCTGCCACTCTGCGATGCTGCATAACTGGAGATGGTCTTTCCATGACAACCGGCCCCGCGGCCTTTGTTAATGGGGCTAGAAATATCCCTGCCGTTTTGCGGGAATCTTATTATCGCGGCTCTTGTCTCGCTGTCTGCCCCGTCTCTCCTGGTTACGTTATGAAGTGCAAGGGATGTAGCCTCGGCCACCAGTTCCAGCCACCTCTGTCCCTTCCTCCCTGGCCCCGCAGCTGCTGTTCCCATCCGTGTGACTTGGGGCTTCTCCTTTCTCACTTTCAGGAGGCTTCAACCCCACCCCCAAGGAAAAGGGGCAAAAAGGGGGTTTGAACCTAGTGTTTTCCTCCCCTGTTTCTCTGTCTTTGGTGAAGCACTGGGAGGAATGAGGTTAGGAAGTAACAGTTGGGGTGAGAGGTTTAATTTCCTTTGCAACTGCGGGGGTGCTTTATTTCCTGTTGTCTCAGAAACCCATCCCTACAGGTAAGGGGAGGGCAACTGGAATTGTTTCCGAATTGGTGATTCTACCAGTCTTCACGTCATGAGCGTTCGGCACGTGTCTGGCTCTTCTGTGGGAAACTCTGGTAAAGCGCGTGATTGACATGGGTTCGTTGACTCAGCAGGTGCTGCCTGGAGGCCTGGGGGGTGGTCTCCGTGCTGGTCGGCGCCTTCATCTTCGGGCAGAGCACGGTGGCGGCCGTCATGGAGCTGCTGTGAGGGGCGGCCCGCACCCGAGCAGGACGGGGGCCCCTGCGACCACCTGCATCCGGCCGTGAGAACCACATGACCTCTTCATAAAGACGCTGGAAAGACTGACTCGTCCGTCCTTCCCAGGCTGCACCTCCCGGCTTCTGCTGGGTCCCGGGGTGTCTGGTGCGGTGGTGAGAGGTGGCGTAGGCCCTGCACGTGACCACAGACTGGGGGCGTCAGGCCAGAGCGGCAGGAGTTCTCGGTCTGGAGCCTGGGAGTCTGGGGTCAGGGTGTGGGCAGGGCCGCGCGCCCTCTCCCCGCCTGCCGCCTGCAGCCCCTGGTGCCCGCTGGCCACCGTGGTGCTCCTGGGGTGTCTGCACCCCCCGTCTCAGCCTCCAGCTCCCTGTGTGTCCACGTGTCCCTCTTAGAGGGCCCAGGGTCCTCATTCGATATGACCTCAGTTACTTACTTGGGATGTGCAAAGAGCCTGTTTCCAAGTAAGGTCACATTCACTGTTTCCTGGGGTTAGAACTGCAGCTTATGTTTCTGGGGGACACAGTTCACCCCATAACTTGGAGTAGGTGCTGAAGTCCAGGGAACCCTGCTTTGGGGTGTTGGGGTCAAAGACATGAGGTGATGGCATGGCTCAGTGGACGAGAGCCCAGGGGGACTGGGGGTAGCACCTGCTGGGGAGGTTTGGGGTGCCATCTGTTGGGGAGGGCAGGGCACTCAAGCTGGTGCTCAGGCCAGGGCACGGGGGGCCCAAGGAGATGTATACACAGAGTTGGCCTCTCTCTGGTGGGGGGGACCCCAAAGAGAGCCCCCTGTCCTCCCACTGGCTGGACCAGAAGAGCCTGGAGGCCAGGCGTGCTGTCTGCTCTGTGGGTCCCTCCCGACCGCACCCCCATTCTGGGCTGAGGAGCCGCACCTGAAGCCGTGGCACAGCGGGGGTCTGCGGGGTCGGGCTGGAGGACTGGCCACTGCTGCTCGTCAAGTCACTGTGCTCGCTCGTGCTGAGCCTGCCCAGGGCCTGGGACCCCTGGATGGATGTTGCTGGATTCAAGCCGCTCCTCCTCTGCCCTGGGACGTCCACCGGAAGCCAGTGGTGCCCGCGCCTGGAGGGCTCACGTCTGAGGACAGCTGCCCCAGGTAGGCAGTGGCCAGGCCGCGTTACGTCGCGTCAGGTGTGTGCGACGTTGTCTTGATGGAACTGTTACGTAGTTTGACTGTTTCCCAGCTTGTCCACCTGTACTGATGTTTTCTTGAGATGTTAATTCACATACCACGAGGTCAAAGTGTACAGTTTGGGTGTCTGTGGGTGTAGAGTGGCACTTCTGTCACCAGTGTCCAATTCCTGTGCGTTTTCAGCCCCAGAGGAACCCAGGACCTGCAGCCCAGACTCCCCGTTTCTCCCTCCCTCCGGTCCCCGGTGACTGTGGCTCTGCGTTCTATCTCTAGGGACTTGCCCATTCCGGACGTTCTGTATGAATGGACGCACACGACACGTGGTCTTTTGTGTCTGGTTTCTTGGACCTAGCACAAGTTTTCAAACATTTTTACAGGTGGAGGGAACCGAGGCTTGAGAACCTCAAGGCCGCCTGTCCTGTGAGCTTCAGAGTTGGGTTGGGACTGATGAGGGGTTAAATTCCATCATCTTCTGAGCTATAGCCAAGGCGGGGGAACTAGTCGACCCTGGGGGCAGGGGCCTCTGCCCCCCAGTGCCCTGGCTGTCCCTGAAGACTCTTGGCCCCGTGATAGGACACGGGGTCCTTCTCCAGGTGCTCTGATCAGCCCCCACACCTCGCGTCCTCCTGAATGAGGGTCTCAGAACCAGCACGTGGGCCGAGAAGTGAGGGCATGGAGTGTTTAGCACCCGCAGCTGGTGCAGATGCACAGTTATATTAACCCTGCATGCCTGACTCTGGGTTGCTGGCCAGGAGGCTGGGCCATGATAGGAGGATCCTGGGTAAGCACAAGGCATGGCAGGTGAGGGGCGTGCCTAAAGGGATGGTGTGTGATAGGCGGCTTTGGAGCCAGACTACGGTTTCAAACACTGTCTGCCATTTGCTTTCTCAAGATCCGGGAAGTTTATTAGGAACCTCCCCTAAGAATCCATTTCCCCACCAGCCAAACAGAGCAGGTTTACTGTGTTTGAGGCAACGTGAGAATTAAAGGTGATGCTGTATGCATAGCAGCTGGCAGGGGACCCAAGCAATGGTGGTTTTATTTCCAGAAAAACAAGGCTGAGATGAGGAGGTGAACACAGATCCAAGGGGAAAAGGGAACGGCCAGACACGTGGGCTCCCTGCAACGCAGGAGAGGACGGCAGGGAGGGGCGGCCTGACACTGATGCTGGGAGGGTGGGGGGGCTCCTGGAGGGGTGACGAGGTTTGCCCTGGGCACCAGCATCCCGCTGCTGATGGGTACAGATGGGGCTGTCATAGGACCGAGCCTCAGATCAGGCGTGATCATGCAGGGCGGGGATGCAGACACACACGAGGCTGATGTCCGTGCTCCGGGGGCAGGTCCGAGCCCCTGCCATCCCACAAGCACCCTCTACCAGGGAAGGAGCTGGAGGACGGAGGGCTGGAGTGCGTGCTCCGGCTCAGGGTGGTCCTAGCACAGGCTAGTGGGTCTGGCACGTCTGGGCTGACCCCCTGCTGCTGCTTACCAGCCCTGTGACTTTGGCCGGGCCTGTCCCTGCTCCGAACAGCCCTCAGCCTCAGGTCACTGACCCAGGAAACCTCTCTGAGTGTGGTTTTCAGCCCTGGTGTCCTTTCTTGGAACTGGGGCAGCCGCTCTCTCCCCCGATAGCCGTGAGGCTGAGCTGAGAAAGACCCACAGAGCCAGGCCCGTCACAGGGTCCTGGTCCATCAATGGTGACACCTGTGCTGGCATGTAGAGACCCTTCTGTCTCAAGTGACTGCCATGAACAGGGTGAACAGGGCAGTCCAGGTTACATGTTCTGCTTGGAGTGGCCCGGGCTGCAGGGGGTCTGCACGTACTGGACAAGGGCCCTCCCAGTGGCTCGGGTGCGCCCATGGGACCACGCGGGGACCAGCCCAGCCCCGAGGGGTGGCCTGTACCCACCAGAGTGGTGGCTACACCACTCCCATGGCAGGCTTAGGTCCTGAACTGAACACAAGGAACACAGGCGGTGAACGTGTTTGGGCAAGTGAGTTGACTGTGACTTTCTTTTTAAAGAAATGAGATTCAGGTCACATAAACCATTTGAAGCTGAGCCCCTCCACACTGCTGAGCCTTCTGCATCCCGTCCCCAAAGCCCTTCCTGCACGGTCAGTCCCCTGCAACCCCTCAGCTGCTTTCCACTTCTAGGGGTTTAACTTGTCCAGACGTTCCCTGTGAATGGGTTGTACCGACGTGGCTGCCTGTGCCCGGCTCCTCTCACTCAGAACGTCCGTGAGGGCACCGTGCCACAGCCTGCACCAGGACGTTGTCCCTCCTGACGGCTGACCCGCAGTCCGCCGCACAGACAGGCGCTCAGCAGTCTGCTCACCCACTACACACACGTGTGTGCCGCCTTCTGGCTCACGTGTGAACACATGGGCGCAGGACCCTGCTTCACTGTCTCGATTCTCTGGGGCCTCCTGGTGTGGAGCTGTGGGGTCATGTGGCAACTCATGTCCAGCTGTTGGGGGGACCTGTGTTAATCCAAGGCCATTGCCCCCCACCCGCCTACACTGGGCGTGTGGTGGTCTGAGCACCGGGCGGGGCACAGATCGTGGCCCTGAGCGCTCCGGGTGCGCTGCCTCCGTCGGGGTCTCGGATTCCCCGCCTGCCCATCCCAGGACAACACAGGAGGCCGCGAGGGCACCTGGCCCTGGAGGGCAGGGGGAGTGGAGGCTCTCGCACCTTTTTGGGTGGGCTGGTGTCTGCTCTCTTCCGAGCCTGCTCCTCCTGTGCGGAACTGGAGGTGGTGCCAAGTGCCCGTGGCCGCAACCAGCACAGATCTGCGTGACTGGAGGGCTCGGACGGGGGGTGGGCCCAGGTAGTGGGGGGCTCCTCAGATGCACCTCCAAGAGCCCCGACCCCCAAGACTACTGTTGCTGAAACAGTGGAGCGGCTCGGAGCGGCCCAGGCGCTGGGGAGGTAGGTGTGTGTGTGTTGGGGTTATGCGTGGCGGTTCTTACGGGGACTCCCCGCAGCAGCCTTGGCACAAGCCAGGCAGCTCCTGGTCTCCAGAGGAGGGGTCTCCCCCGCACTTTCCAGGTAAGAAAACAGGCTGAGGGACACAGCTGGGATTTGAGCCTGCATTTCACTCTTCCGTCCAGGCCCTGTGGTTGCACTGGTTTTGCATGAGGCACCAGCGTCAAGCCCTGGGAGGTGGTGCAAGGGGGACATCCCGGGGAGCAGGGGCTTTCACGGCTCCCCCGCCGCCTAAGGAGGCAGACTGGGCAGAGCCCCGCCCGGCAGTGGCGGCTTTAGTGATAGCACCGGTCCCAGCGGGGCTGCAGAGATCAGACCTGGTCCTGCCGTGAGGGTGCCCAACCCAGCTCCAGGGCCGTCTGCCTCCTCCCCCAGCTCCCCAGTCTCCGTGCCCAGTAGTTCTGCCTCCTCCCCCAGGAGAGGGACGCGGGGACTCTCCTTTCCTGACCCCTGAGACTTCTGTGTCCTGTTGCTCTCCTGCAACTTGGCCAGGGAGACAGAAGGAAGTCACAGTGTCCAGAGTCGGGTCTGAATGCAGTCTGGGTCTGGCCTTCTGTGTGGCCGGACAGCAAATCATAGGGTGCAGTGAGAGACTGTGTCCAGTCAGGTCTGGCCTCTGCCCTTGGCGGTGACGGCCTCTAGGAACCTGGAATGTCCCCCCCTGACATGAGGTGGGGTGACTTGGCTCAGGTTTCATAGTAATAAAGTGGCTTCCCTCCCCAGCCATCACAGAAAATGGCACACACACACACAGCTGTCCACAATGGGAGTTTATTTGGTGCTCATCCCGGCGGTTACTGGCCCAGCAGGGCACTGCTACGTGGGGTCTACCGCCGCCTGCGGGCTCAGCCCTGGCCTAGGGGGGAACTACAGGGTCTCGGCCCCCTACCGCGTGGAGGAGTGGCGACCAGGGAGGGGGAGGCGGACGGGGACTGGTCATGCGTGGCCGTCTGCTGGCAGGGGCCGCCTCCGTCACCACCGCCCTCCAGCGTCAGCAGGGCCCCGGCAGCTCAGATGCTGCTCTGCCGCCAAGGGTGGGGCGGGGGGAGCCAGGGGAGGGGTGCGCCTTCACTTTGAACAGCGGGAAGAGACACTCTTATTTGGAAGTATACTGAAAAGACAGCTAGTATACCAAAGTTTCTAGAAAAGACTGGACATCCGTCGTCAGAGGGAGCAGGGTGGCAGACTCATCTGTGGGGCCTCGGGGAGGTGGTCAGTCACGGCCCAGGGTGCACCAAGCAGCTGGGGGAGAGAGAGGGGTCATGAGGGCAAGAAGCAAGCCCTGCCTCCGCTCAGGGCAGGAGAGTGATGCCTGCAGCCGTCCCTCCTGCCTCCGGCGCCCACTCTGCCGGGCGGGCCTGTGGGCAGCGAAGGGGGCAGGCAGAGCGAGGCACCCCAGGGGTGCTCGCTGGTTGTCCCCCCTGCTGGCCAATCACATACCCGACGAGCAGACTTGCCTTTAAAATGCCCGTATGCCCATTTAAAAAATTAAATGTAAACTTTCCAGGACGGGAACTTGCCTTTCCAACGCGGCCTGGTAAAGCCGACTTGACAGAGGAGCCCCTGATTCCCTGACAGAAGAAACTGATGTCTGGTTAAAGGAGACGTGAAGGGAAAGGGTCTGTAAATAAAACTGCTCTCGTGTCTGTATTTTCTGGAGCTAACGTATAGATCGGGCTCCATTCAGACTGGAGCACCATTTAGAGCCGCCAGCCAGGAGGAAGGTGTGCACCGCAGTCTCGCAGGTGTGACCGGCGGCCCTTTGTGCCTTAAAATTTGCCTGTAGCCCATCATCAAGGAAGAGAGCGGGAAACTTATCTTGCCAGTTAGAGCATTACATTCTTTCTTGGCCCTGGAGTTCTGTGAAACCCTTGGGGGACGGAAGGTGATGCTGGGGAAGAAATGGGGGTTAAATTATGTAGAAGGGTGTGTTCACATCCTCTGCTCCCTCCCAGGACAACTGTCTTACCTGCGCCAGGCCCTCAGTCACCAGCTATGCTATCCAGTCAAGGGTGGCTTTACAGGAAACAGGGGCCATAGATATTTAGCATCTTTGACTTTCAACAGGTACAAAAATGGTTTTGGATTTTGTTAGATTTCAAAAAAATGCACACAGTGTTGGAACTTCACGTTTTATATACCTGTTGTTGTTCAGTCACCAAGACGTGTCTGACTCTTGGTGACTCCATGGACTGCACTAGGCTTCCCTGTCCTTTACCATCTCCCGGAGTTTGTCCAAGATTTTATATGCTAGTATTTGGCTGTTAGTATTTTATAGGAACCATAGTTCTTGGTGGCTACATATGTATATATGATAAACTATGTAATATATACACACACATATCTGCATCTGTCACTTTTTTGTACACCAAGTACTGTTTCAATGTCACAATCATTTTCAGAGTTACTGTAGTGAGTGTCGTGTTTTCTCAAATCTGTAGAAGCCCAGCCTGCCACAGGCCGGGCTCGGGGCCCCCCCCAGCCCCCTGGCGCCCCAGCCTTCCTGCCTTGAGGACCCTCTCTGTTGAGCACACACTCGTGGACTACACTTCCTAGCAGCTGAGGGAACAGAAGGCTTCCTGGGTGGCTCAGTGGTAAGCAACCTGCCTGCTGAAGCAGGAGATGCAGGTTTGATCCCTGGGTCAAGAAGATCCCCTGGAGAAGGAAATGGCAACCCACTCTGGTATTCCTGCCTGGGAGATCTGATGGACAGAGGAGCCTGGTGGGCTACAGTCCATCCACGAGGTCACAAAGAGTCGGACACGACTGGGCGACAGAACATCGACGAGAGAACAGAAGGGTCTGTGGACAATCTGGGTCTGGGTGCCGCTGCTTCTGCCAGGCCTGTGGTGCCCCCATGCCACCACCCCCCCTGCCCTGTGGCTGCTCCAGACCTCCCCCCCAGTACCTGGCACAGAGATCCGGGAGAAGGCCTCAGGCTGGCTCAGCGTGTCCACCTTGACGTGCCGGAACGCCTTGCACACAGGGCTCTGCAGGTGCCTGCAACCCAGGGGGACGCCCGTGAGCTCCTGGGGCTTGGAGCGGGGTCCGAGTCTGACCCTGGGCTGGCGGCTCTGACAGCAGTCAGCCAAGCTCGGGGGCCAGAGCCTTCACGGGAAGGTAAGAAGGCCGGGGGTGACTGCTGGGGCAAGAACAGCCTGGTTCTTGCCTCCCCGTGAGCAGACTTAAACAGAGAACTTTCTTTCTGGATTTTTATCCTTTGGCGGTGGCTTCTAAACAGGAGTACCCCTGGCCTCAGCTCCCAGGGCTGGCAAGGAACCTGGATTCAGAGCTCAGATGAAGGGGTGGAGGACGAGCCTCCTGAGTGGTGGATGCCGCTGGGACCCCAACTCCTTACCCAGCCCACACCCCACCCCACCCCTGCGGGCTGGAAGCCAGAGAGCGTGTGTGTCAGACCTACCTCTTCCACTCCTCCTCCGTCTCCCAGAACTCATAGACCACGAAGGTAACGCCGTCCGCCAACCTCATGGCGGCGATGCTGCAAGAGGAAAGGCTGGCGTCAGTGGCCACACCAGGGTGCAGAGGGCCCCAGAGGCCCATCCCCACCACTGCCCTGCCCACAAACGAGCCCAGACCGGGCGCCCAGAGCCAGGAAATGGGTTCCCAAAATCTGTGGTCCAGGACACGGGCCTCTCGGTAATACGCTTCCTCTCTGCTCAGAACCCCCAGCACAGCCAGGACTGCCACCTCGTCTGACAGCTGCATGCACGGCTCTGCCATCTGGAGCGAGGCCTGACCCGGACAGTGCCCAGTGTGTGGCTGGTGAATGAATTCTAATGAAGTGCCACTTTTTAAAAGGCCTTTCTATTCATTGAAAAAAACTTAGCTGTTTTTTTCCCCAGTCTATAACATCTATCTTTATTAGAAACAGATTTTTAAAATACATGATAAACAGAGGCTCTCTATAGATTAAAAAAAACCTAACTTAAAAGTGAAAAGCAGTATCAATTGAAAAAAGATCTTGAAAACATACCAGTTTAGAGAATAACTTTTCTTCTATCTAGAAAACCACTGTGCGATAAAAATCTGTGTGATATAAAGAGAATTTCTACTATGTTAATAAAAGTTATGTGAGGTACTATAAATTTACTGATTTTGTTTTCTTTCCAGATTATCCCCAAGATCAGATGAAGTTATGATTTTAAAAAATCTAATAGCAAAGTTATTAACTATTAAGTCATTATTCATAACATCAACAATTTTATACAAATACTGGATATTTTTTTTTGTACATGTGGGAAAATAAACCACATTTTCTATTTCTTTTCTAGACATGTTTTGCATGAAGGCAAAATAATTATTTAAATCCTGTTTTTCTTTGCCATGAAGATTCTTCAAGAAAGGCTTTTCAAATAACTACAATAGCCATATTTTCATAGCTGTGTTCTAATTTTAAATGGGTTAAATAATTGGTCAAGAGAAGAATATGGTCAAAAATGAACACAAGGAATCATCGAGCAAAAAGGCATACTAAGAAAAAACTAAAGAGAGAAACTGCTTTTTCCTGGAACATAAGTTTAGAAAAGTTTCTTCCATGATGTGGGATTGTTAGGGGATAAATTTCATAAGGTTGAATCAAACCCCTTCTCACGATTTCAAGTTCTACATGACCTTAAGGGCCAAAATAACATGTGAAAAACAATACGGCAAGTCATCTGGAGAACAAACTTAAGATTCTCTAAATGATAAAGGTTACCCATAGGGGAAACTATCAGGTTTACTTCAAAGCAGCTAAACCTTTTATCCAGGTGTATATATAAGCAACATTCCATACCATTAAACACCCCCTCCTTTTTGAAATACTTTGGCTTCTAGCACACCAGTCTCCTCACTACTTCTAGCTCAAAAACCTGCCTTTTTAAAAAATAAAAGCATCTTCCACATTGTCCTCTGTAATCGTTGTCTCATTTAATCCTTAGAGACAGGCCTGGCTGGAGTCCCAGACCACTCCTGCCTTCCCCATCTGAGACACAGGACACTCACCTTGTTTCAAACCGATGGACAGACCCAGGCTGGGGGCTGGAGCACGTCGGGGGTTGGGGGCTGGGCTCTAAGGGAGGGAGGCCCGGCCTCCGAGATCACAGCACCGCAGCCTCTGGGCAGCCCTCCCTGCTCTTCCCCACGCGCTCAGCAGCACAGAGCCCCCAGCACCCCTGGAGAGGGGACCCCATCACAGGCGGCGTCTGCTGTATAATCACAGCAGCTCCAGGTTCTGCCGCTCAGGACGGAAACAGGGCTGCTAACCGCATCATTATGTCATTCCCTCCAGCCCGAAGTTACCTGCCAGCCTTAGCTCCTATCTCAGTGATGGGATGGGCTCAGGCCTGCGTGCCACCTGGTCATCAGGGGGACCCTGGCCCCGCCCAGAGGTGGCCTCGCTCCTCAGAGCCTGCCCCGCTGTGGACAGAGGTCAACGAGGGATGGGCCTCGTCTCCATTTGGTAATTGCAGCATGGGAAAAGCAGTTACAGTGCTGGGTTTGCTTGGCTAACACACTGATTGGCTTCAGGGGCATGGGGCGAGGCCTCTGGCTGGAAGGACACAGCAGGCAGGCTTGGGGTGCACGGAGGGCACACAGTCATGCAACCAACAGGAAGCCCCACTGTGTGCTGTCTCCAGCCTGCCTTCCCAGCTATGGGCCCCCTTCTCCTTCCACGCTTTCTCCCGTGATGAGTGCATGGCTCTGGTGGCCTTGGGTGACACCTGCACGCCCAGGGGGCAACTTGTACGCTTGCACCTCGAATGTTATGGCATCTCGTGTGCGATGTGGCCCAAAGGCCTGTGTGAGCCCCTGCCGACTCACCTGATGCTCCGCCACGTCTCCAGCTCAGCCCGCGTTCCCACCCCCCCACCCTCACCACCCCCAGTGAGTTTCTGAAGTCAAAGGATCTCAGACTCCACTTGGCCTACTCTTTCTACAACCCGCCTCCCATCCTGGCCCTGGGCTGATCCGGTCAGCCCCACTCTGAAACAGATCCCAGTTCTGCCCACGTCGTGCCAAGGGCCAGTCCCCTCTCCCTAGCTGCCCGGCTGCACGTCTGTCCAGCCACCACACGCCCTTATGCAAAGGAGGAGGCAGGACTGAGCCCTACTCCGGGCTCAGCATCTCTCCCGTGGTACCTGTTACCTGGAACGAGCAGGGCCTGCCTACCTGCCCCCTGTCCCTCGGCCATCTCCCACCACCCCCAGGTCACCCTGTGGAGCCGCACTCTGTCGTGTGTTCCTAGACACACTCCCCTTGCTGCTACCGCGGCTCTGGGCGCCGGCCCATCCCCCACCTCAGGTTCTGCGGGTGGGGCAGCTCATCACTCAGGCCTCAGCACACAGCAGCCCCTTCCTGAAGACCTCTGCCCCGTTCCCGGCCTCTGTAGCACCCGCGGCCAACTGGAATCATCTTTACCTGCCCCCCCTCCCGCCACTGGGAATTAGCGCTCAGCAGCAGCAGCAGCCTGAGTCACACTGCACCCCCAAGGCCCCCCTACCCGGCATCACCAGGAAGCAGGTGGAGGCACATGTGTTGGGGAGAGAGAGAAATCAGCTGGGAGGCAGGGAGAATGGAAGTAGAGAACAGGTGTGGAGCCCACAGCTACTGTCCACCAGGTGCTGACGGGTGGGCCGCCGCTGGGAAGGAGGGAGCCCAGCCGCTTGTGCCAACAGCTCTTGGGGGCACCCCCAGCCAGATGCAGGCCTCGGCAGCAAGGACCGGGGGGGGTGCCCTGAGGAGCAACCACGACAGCAAGCAGGGCAGCTGCCACAGCGGGCACTGGGGCCAGGCCCCGCCTGATGCCCCCCACGGTGCATTGCTCCACTGAGGCCCCCAACCACCCCGTTAGTGGTCCCCTTTACAGATGAGCAAGCTGAGGTCAGGGAGACGGAGTCACTTGCCAGATTTGCACAGTAAGGAAGAGCCCGATTGAGGACTTGCCCCCAGCTCCTGTAACCACCCCACTAGGTGCGTCGTTGGCGTCCCCCAGGCCGGACCCCCAGCCACCGCCCCACCCTGGCCTGCGGCTTACTCACTGGAAGCAGTTCCTGGCCCCGGCGGTGCCCCGCACGTACTGGCGCAGAGAGCCCAGGAAGCCGCCCAGCTGCTCCGGGCACACGGCCATCTCCTGCCGGACCAGCTGCAGGTGCTGTGGGCCACAGGACCCGTGAGCCACCCCTCACCCAGGACCCCACCCGTCCCCGGAGGCACAGCCCAGGACCCAGCAGCCTCCCTGCGACAGGACACCATGGTCAGAATAAACCCGACCCCCCCAACCCCACTACACACAGTTGTCATCTCTGCTCGTGAAAACTGGCGAAAAATGAACTAAAAGCAGCAGTCCCACACAAGTGCTGAAGAACAGACAAGAGGATTTAGAGAGGCCCGAGAGAAAGACTGCAAGGCACTGGGGCCAAGACACAACAGAATGAACGGTCCACAGAACTGTTGCTGGTTGAATCAGTGTCTGCTGATCCCGTCGCTCCAGGCCAGAGAACAGCCCCAGGACGGGAGGGAGGCCACATGCTGGTGCCGGGTGGGGGTGGGTGTCAGGGACACTGAGCCACCTGCATCTTCAGTCCCAGCCCAGAAGGGGACGGGGCCACAGGGAGGGGTCCTCACCATGTTGGTGCCCTCTTCGTCCGAGAGATGCTGCTGAAGGTCAAACCAAAGGGTCTGTAACAACAAGGCATGAAGGGAGACTGGAGACTGAGGCCCTCTCTGCCCGGGAGGCTTCCAGGACCACCACCACAAGGACACGGAGCACCAGAGAGCTGCGACCCTTCCACCCCGAGGTTCCAGGGACCCTCGAGTCCCGGGGCTGGCGGGAGCTCCCAGGGCCAGCCCTCTCTGGCCAGGGCTCAGCCCACAGTGCTGGCTCAGGGGGTACCCAGGAAGCCAGGCTGCAAAGCCACCCAAAGCCACAGATTCCTCCTGGCTGTGCCGCTGGAGCCCAGAGGCCAAGCAGACCTACCGCAGAGAACACAGAGGAGGCTCTGTTTTGCTGAACCCAGAGAGCTGGGGGTTTGCCACAATTGCCGGCAACGGACTGCCTGACTTGCAGTCACCCCCGACCTGGGGCCTCAGGAAGAGAAGGGTCTGAATGAGGTGGTCTGTGCTCGCTGGCCCTCGACTGACCCCGGGCTAGCTTTACACCAACTGTCAGGGAACCTTCCAGACTCTCAGGTCGAGACTGCCCCACTGTCAGCCCTGGGGAAGCAGGGAGCCCACACAGCCCCCGTCTGACCCCGTGCTGGGGGCTGCCGCAGTGCCCAGCACCTCCATTTCAGAGCAGAGAACCCCAGGGCCGCAGGAGCTGGTCCAGGCTCTGAGCCTGGGTTTGAGGCCAGGCCCCCTGCCCCCGATTCACGGAATCCTTTAACTTGGGCTCCCCAACAGACGCCACCTTTGTGCCCTCCCTGTCCGTCCTCCACGAAGCAAGCCGTGTCTCTGGCACAGTGTGTGTGTGGGGGGGTATGTATGTGTGTGTGTCTTCCTTCTCTACACAATCGTGTGAGGCGTGTTGCCTAGCTGTTGGAGAAAACAGAGTAGCAGATACACAAGTCCATGACCTGAGCGGTCACCACCTTGAAATTCTTAATAATGCTGGAACCAGGGACCCCGTCAATACACGGCCGGTCCCAGAGAGGTGCTGACTTTCTGGGGACACAGGGTGTGGATGCAGGTGTAAGTGGGCTCCTCCTGGCGGGCAGGGCCACGTGAGGGTGAGGATGAAGCAGAGATGAGGGGAGGGGTGGTGGCACCCAGGTCTGCGTCCCCGTCTCCCTGCCTCGCCTCTGCTCCGGGGAGCCCAGGCCCAGCCAGGAGGGCTCAGGCTGTTCCGTGGAGGGCGAGGCCTGGCTCCTGCTCGTGCCCCGGGGCCAATCAGAGGCTGGAAGAGGCCCACACCGTCTCCAGGACACCCAGGTGCTCCTTGGTTTCCAGCCAGCTGGTTGTTAAGGCGACTGGGGCGCTAAAAATAAGCTTCAAAGAGCCTCCCTCTGGGGGCGCCTGCGGAGTTGTTATGACAACCAGGCCTCAGGTCCCCGTGGAGTCTTTCCTACTGCTCCCACCAAGTAGCCCGCTTCGGGGGGAGGTGGGGTGGAGGGCAGGGGGGTAGATCCCTGCGGCCCTGTGGGTGGGGCTCACTGCCTCCCCCCTTGGACTCCCCCCAAGTCTGGGCCTCAGCCTCCTCCTGGGGAGCCCCACCCAGCGCCCTCACGGATCTCTCAGAACTAACCCACAAAACCATCAAAGCACTATTTTTCTTTTGCCCTGTTGCAAAAGATATAGAAGTTTCAGGAAAGCAGAAATGTAAAATTGCCACTGTGACTCTACAGCCCAGAGATACCTGTTACCTTGGTTTACGTAGATATACATGTGTAGATGTGCATGTGTATATAGGTTCTGGTATCAGAATGTCTCATAATAATGGCTAAATAACAGTGCTAATATTAAATGCTAACTAAGCAGCAGGCTCTGTGCTAAGCCATTAAGATATTTTATCTAATCCTCACAACGACCCTGTGAGAGGTACCATTCTGACTATCTTCTCTATGGTTACGGGAGGACTCGGAGGTTCAGAGAGGGTAAGTTACTGGCCCAAGGTCACACAGCTGTTAAGTGGCATAGCCAGGATTCAAATACAGGCAGTCTGATACCAGTGCCTACTGGTAAACCTTAACTGTTTGTTCTCTTTCTTCCAGTAAATGGTCATTGTTATGGAATGATTTGTGTTCCCCCCAAATTCATATGTTGAATTCCCAACCCCTAGTGCTGCAAAATGTGACTGTATTTGCACACAGGACATTTGAAGACTGACTGCGTGATAATAAGGTCACACAGGTGGGCCCCAATCCAGTATGACTGTTGTCCTTATAAGAAACTGGGAGACAGTCACACGGCTGTCTACATGCTCCAGGGAAGGCCATGGGAGGACCCAGCCCTGCCGGCATCCTGACTCCAGACTCCATGTGTGAAAAGACAGCGCCTGGGTTTGAGCCCCTCGGCTGTGGTCCGTGGCTCCCGCAGCCCTGAGACGCTAGCACAGTCGGGTCCCGAGTACGTACTGAGTCATGAAACACTCTCTGAAGTCATGATTCCATTTTCCATCGCCTGCAGATGGGCCATGTCCCATTTAAAAGGCTTCACACTGCGGGTCACTCTGACCTCTCCTGGACTTCCCCGTCCCTCAGCCGCCACCACGCCAGGTCTGGGCTGCCACCTGCCCAGACCACCCGAGGCCTTACAGCCTCCTTGATGCTCAGTCCCCTTGCTGCCCACTCTCTGCTCCTCGGCACGCCCCCTCCTGGCCGCCCACCCATTCTCATAGCTCCTCTTCCCCAGGCCCCATACAAGTACAAAGGTCATGTTCCCAGGGTCTCCCTTTAGTCCACACCACCCCCCAACCCCGCCCAGGGGCATTAAGGTTCCCTGACTTCCCTCTTGTAAACTCGGGCCTAATTCCACACTCCCTGGGGGGCTGGGAGGGTGGAGGGGGGATGGAGGGATGGATGTGGGGGCTCTGCGGGCCCACCTTGTTCTCCAGCCGTCCAATGAGCCCCGCCAGCCTGCTGATCTGGGCATCCAGGCCGTCCTCCTTGGGGTCCGAGGTGCCTGGGAAAGAGGAACAGTGATGCTGATGGGGGCAGGGCCAGGCCGGAGCCCCCCTCCCCCGGACAGAGGACTTGCTTCCAGCCCTCCAGTCCCAGTCCCTGCGGGAGGCCCAGGCCCCATCGGGATCCCCCACCGGTGCCCCCACCCTGGGCCACGCCTCTCACCAGGCGGGAAGTTCTTTCCTTGCTCCGCAGCCATGAGCTTGTGGTTCGGGGCGCAGGGGGGAGTGGGGCTCCCGGACCAGGTCTCCACCGCGCCATGGCTGGGCCGGCTGTGGTTCTGTCTGCAGAGGGGGTGGGGGAACGCACCCTGTGAGGGGGGCTGTAGGGCCCTTACAGCTCGGAGCGGCTCTGACCAACACTCAGCACCAACTGTGGGGCTGAAACGTGCACAGAACTCCCAGGAGCCCCATCCCCTGAGCTGGACACGGCGGCCGCTGTCTCACAAGGAGGCTGCCCGAGGGCGGGGCTGGCATCTGAACTCAGATCCTTTCTGGGAACCCAGACCCTGTGCCTGGGAGGTTCCGTCCCAGGTTCCAGGGCCCGCAAGGGTGAGCCAGGCCCCCACCTCCCTGCAGCTCTCAGCTGCCCCTCGCCCACCCTGCCTGCCCTGATCCCGTGTTCAGAGGCCGCTGGGGTCGGGGCCTGGGTTTGCTAACAAGCCCCCCTCCAAAAAAAGAAGCCGTAGGACTCAGTCGAGAGCAGGCATCTAACAGGACAAAAATCCACGATCCTGGCTCAGCCTGGCCCCGTGCCCTGGCCCAACCCCACCCGCCACGCACACTGATGTGCATGGACCAGCACCCCTGATGTGCAGCCCACCAGATGCTGTGCCTGGCACACACAACAAATGCCCAAACCCCCGTGTGCAAAAACGCTAGAAAAGTCACTGCGGACACACAAATAGACACACGCCCATGTGCACAGCCAACACGCCTGGTGCCCAGCATGGCCGTGGTTTGCTCCAGAATCTGCCTCCTGTGAACCTGAAAGTCCGGCAGCCTCTCCCTCCGTGTGGAGGGGCTGCCCACCCCCTATCCCCTGGGGGAGGAGAAAGGCTGGCAGAGTCTTGGAGGTGTCGGTCCTGGGGCCTCTACAAACCAGCAGCGGATGAAATATGGCCCGCGGACCATGAGTGGGTGCAGCAGGGGTCCCCTGGGGATGGACCGCTGGCCCCAGTGCAGGTCATGCCGTCCCCAGGGCTGGGAAACAGGGTGCCCGGGGAGCCCTGCAGCTGAGACAGCTGAGGTTTGCAGGGTTAAAGGTGGGGGTGTGCAGGAAGCAGATGTATGTTCCCATCATCCCTACGTGAGGTTTGGGGAGGGAGGCAGGTCTAACGGCTGACACGTGGTGGGGACAGCTGACACGTGGTGGGGACAGCTGACACGTGGGGGGACGGCTGACTCGGGGGGGGGACGGCTGACTCGTGGGGGAGACGGCTGACGGGGGGGAAGGCTGACTGGGCGGGGGGGAAGGCAAAGCGCAGGGAATCAGCTCTATTAAGTGTGCAGTGCTCCATCTGATCTGTGACAGAAGGAAAGTTGCAGGTTTTTTAATCAAGATAGTGATGATAAACGAAGAAGGAAATCTATGTAACAGGAAATCCCCTTAACCTTGGGGACCCTCTGAATCATGAGACTGATCACGGACGCAGAGTCCAGGGCTCGGCTCCCAGGGACCCCAATCCCAGATGGCGTGGCCAGGGCCCAGGACTCTGTGTCCTGCATTTCCCAGGGGACTGGGCTGCAGGCCCTCAGAGCAAACACGTTTTGTGAACAGCATCCCTGACCACCTTTGCAGCCAGTGGATTGGGACAAATCCCCACCCAGGATCAGCATCCCACAGTGCCAGGAGACGCCAGGCTCAGTAAAGCTCAGGCACCTGGCGGCTGCGCCCATCTGTTCCTATGGCTTAAAAAAAAAATTATTTATGTGGCTTCACCAGGTCTTAGCTGTGGCATGTGGGATCTAGTTCCCTGACCAGAGATCGAACCTGGGCCCCCTGCCTTGGCAGCACAGAGTTGCAGCCACTGGACCACGAGGGAAGTCCCTGTTTGTGTCTCTTTACTTCTACCTTGCCTCAGGCACATCGGCTATTCAGGGGAGAAAAAGCACAGAAGAGCTGGTCTGAACTCGGGACAGCAAATGCCCCTCACGTGGCCCCCAGGGGCTGGCCCTCCTCTCCGGACCCCAGGCTCATTGCCCCAACACCGTGTCTGCCCCAAAATGGGGGGACCCCAGGTCTTTTCCATGTTCACAAGGACCCGCAAACAAGGCCTTAAATAATACTAACTAACCTCAGGAGAAAACCCACTCCATTTCACTGCTGTTCAATCTCTCTGAGGTGGTGACTTGATGCTACTGTGTTGTCAACGCCCATCTACGATCTCACAGCCTCTAAACAAACAGGGAGCAGGTCGAGGGGTCTGAGCACCCACAGGGCTTATTTTTACAGTCATGGTATTTTTCACTCACGGCATGAGATAACTTGTTTTCCAATGGTGGTAATAACCACCATAGTCTCCTAATTCCCAGGTTTTAGAAAATGAGCCAAACAGTGGAATAGTTTTAGATCAACAACAACGTGAAGAGGTAGTATAATTGCCCCCACTTGACAGGTGGGGCAGTGGAGGCCCAGAGTGGGGCAGCGGCTCGCCCAAGGCTGCCCAGCCCCCAGGCACAGGCCGCCCCGCCACATGGCCGGCGGCACGGCTCAGTCCCGTCCGCGCACCGGATCTGGCTGGTCTGCTCTTCGATGGCTTCCACCGCGCTCTCGACCGAGCTCAGCAGGGACTGGATCTGGTTGGCCGTCTCCTTCAGGAGGAAGCGCGTCACAAACCGGTCCACGCGGCTCCCGCCCTCGTACACCTGTGGAGGGAGGGGCACAGAAGGAGAGGGGCTGACGAGGGGTCAGACACCCCGACTTGGGGTCATGCTTTGCACCCTCCCAGGGCTCCTGCGGGAAGGCAGGAGCTACGGACGCAGAGCCCAAGGTTTGGGCCAGAACAGAAACCACAGTATCTACAACACTGCATTGAGGACTGGAAGGCAGAAGGTATGTAAAAGGCTCAGCACTGTGGCCGTCACAGAGCAAATGCCCTGTGAACAGCAGCTGCTCTGATAAAGATGATGGTGACAGTGACGACGGTGGTGGTGATGGAGATTACAGTAAAGACGGTGGTGGCCACTTCTATCCAGCATAGTATTGGAAGTCCAGCCACAGCCATCAGACAAGAAAAAGAAAAGGTATCCGAAATGGAAGGGAAGGGGTAAAGCTGTCCCTCTATGCAGACAACATGATACTATGTATAGAAAACCATAAGGACTCCTATATTCAGGTCAAAAAGCAACAGTTAGAACCAAACATGGAACAACAGACTGGTTCAAAATTGGGAAAGGAGTACTTCAAGGCTGTATATTTAACTTATTTAACCTGTCACCCAGTTTATTTAAACTTGTATGCAGAGTACATCATGCAAAATGCCAGGCCAGATGAATCACAGCCTGGAATCAAGATTGTGGGGAGAAGTATCAACAACCTTAGGTATGCGGATGATACCACTCTAGTGGCAGAAAGTGAAGAGGAACTAGAGTGTCTCTTAATGAAGGTGAAAGAGGTGAGTGAAAAAACTGGTTTAAAACTCAACATTCAAAAACCTAAGTTCATAGCATCCAGTCCCATCACTTCATGGCAAATAGATGGGGAAAAAGTGGGAACAGTGACAGACTTTATTTTCTGGGGCTCCAAAATCACTGCAGACAGTGACTGCAGCCAAGAAATCAAAAGATGCTTGCTCCTTGGAAGAAAAGCTATGACAAACCTAGATAGCACATTAAAAAGTAGAGACATCACTTTGCAGACAAAGGTCCATATAGTCAAAGCTGTGGTTCTTCCTGTAGTCATGTATGGATGTGGGAGTTGGACCACAAAGGCGGCTGAGTGCCACAGAATTGATGCTTTTGAACTGTGGTTCTGGAGAAGACTCTTAAGAGTCCCTTAAGACTTCTGGGAGATCCAACCAATCAATCCTAAAGGAAATCAACCCTATTCAATGCATTGGAAGGACTGATGTTGAAGCTGAAGCTCCAATACTTTGGCCACCTGATGTGAAGAGACAACTCACTGGAAAAGACCCTGATGCTGGGAAAGATTGAGGGCAGGAGAAGGGGGCAACAGAGGATCAGATGGTGGGATGGCATCACGGACTCAATGGACATGAGTTTGAGCAAACTCAAGGAGATGGTGAAGGACAGAGAAGCCTGGTGTGCTGCAGTCCATGGGGTCACAGAGTCAAACATGACTTAGCGACTGAACAATAACAAATAAAAGACCCAGAACTGCCAAAGCAATTCTGAGGGAAGAAAAAAACAAAGCAGGACATATAACTCACCCAGACCTCAGACAGTGCTACAAGGTTACAGTAATAAAAACTGTAATATGGGCACAGAAACAGACATATGGAGCAGTGGCACAGAACACAGAGCCCTAGGGGGGAAAAAGGACTTATGGTCAATTAATGTCCGACAAAGGAGGCAAGAATATATAATGGGAAAAAGACCGTCTCCTCAGCAAGTCACGGTGCTGGGAAAGCGGGACAGCTGCATGTAAATCAATGAAGTTAGTACACACCCTCTCATCAGGCACAAAAATAAACTCAAACACAACACATGACAACATAAAACTCCTAGAAGAGAGCACAGACAAAACATTCTCTGACATCAATCGTACCCATGTTTTCTTAGGCTTGTCTCCTAAGGCAACAGAAATAAAAATAAAAATAAGCAAATGAGATGCAATCAAGCTTTTGCACAGCAAAGGAAACCATTAAAAAGTGACAAGACAACACACAGGATGGAGAAAATGTTTGCAAATGTTGAGCCCGACAAGGGCTTAAGCTCCAAAATGCACAAACAACTCACACAACTCAACAACAAGAAAAAAAACAACCTGATCGAAAAACGGGCAGAAGACCTAAATAGACATTTCTCCAAGGAAGAAATACAGAGAGTCAGTAGGTAAATGAAAAGATGCTCAACATCACTAATTATCAGAAAAACTCAAATCAAAACTACAATGAGGTACCACCTCACACCAGTCAGACTGGCCATCATCAAAAAGTCCACAAGTAACAAATGCTGGAGATGGTGTGGAGACAAGGGAACCCTCCCACACTGTTGGCATGAAAGTAAGCTGGTGTGAGTGAAAGTGAAAGTCGCTCAGTCGTGTCCAGCTCTTTGCAACCCCATGGACTATACAGTCCATGGACTTCTCCAGGCCACAGTACTGGAATGGGTAGCCTGTCCCTTCTCCAGCGGATCTTCCCGACCCAGGAATTGAACCAGGATCTCCTGCACTGCAGACGGATTCTTTACCAACTGAGCTACCATGGAAGCCCCAAGCTGGTGTAGCCCCTATGGAAAATATATGGAGGGTCCTTAAAAAACTAAAAACTGAGCTACCGTATGATCCAGCAACCCCACTACTGGGCATATACCCAGACAAAACTAGAATTTGAAAAGATACATGTACCCCTATGTTCATAGCAGTACGTTTACAATAACCAAGACATGGGAACAATCTCATTGGCCATCAACAGATGACTAGATAAAGAAGATATGGCATATATATACACAAGAGAATACCACTCAGCCATAAAAAACAATGCAGTATTCATGCCGTTTGCAGAGATTATCTAGCGATGATCATACTAAGTGAAGTAAGGTAGAAAGATAAGTATTACTTATTACGTAAAATCTAGAATATGACACAAATGAACTTATTTGTGAAACAAAACAGATTCACAGGCATACAGAACAGACTTATCATTGCCAAGGGGGAGGGGAGGCATGAGAGGGTGGTTTGGGAGTTTGGGGTTAGCAGATGCAAACTATGTCATATGGGATGGGTGAACAACCAGGTCCTACTGCAAAGCTCAGGGAAATAATATTCAATATCGTGTGATAAACCAGGATAGAAAAGAACATGAAAAAAAAATATATATATAACTGAATCCTTCTGCAGTACACCAGAAACAACACAACAACATTGTAAGTCAACTCTATTTCAATTAAAAAAAAAAAACAAGAAAAACAAGAAAACCCTCCTGCACTGATCAGTAATGGGGTTGCACCTGTCAATAACCACTGCGCCCTAGTCTGGTCAACACAGCGAGAGCCTGTCTCTCGTTAAGGAATCTCCTAAATGTTCCATATGTCCGTTAAATAAATAATTAAAATTTGTTTTTTTTTTTTCTTTTTAAAGGTGGATTCTGTGGGCGCTGGGCATTCGTGCTGCTACTCAGAGAAGTGAGGGAAGAGAAGCCAGAGTGGCAGGATGGATTAAAGTGTCTCTCAAGAAAGTGCCTGAGACTCAGTCCTCAGAGGGAGGGGAGCAGGGGGGACTCTGGGGGCAGAGAGAGGAGGAACTCTGGGCATAAGATGAAGAGGGTTTCCCACTGATGTTGCCCTGTGATATGAAACAATTTCCTCTCTTGTCAAGAGTCTGCAGCAGGGGCATTGCTCAAGGCTCTTGGGTGGGGCTGAGTGTCTTTTGGCTTTGAGACTCGAACGTGGGCAGGAGAAGGCTCTGGCTCAGCCAGGTCACTCCGGGGTGACGGTGATGGAAATAACACCGAGCTGAGGGGCTTGGACCCTTCAAGCCCTGCGCGGTTCCATCTGACCTCCCCTGCCAAGACCCCACTCTCCTGAGCCACCTGCCCCAGCACCTTGGGAGTCTGCCTAGTCCCTGGCCAGGGGAGGAAAAACAGGGCTCTCAGGGAAAGAAAATTAAACCATCCATCACTCTGACTAGGAATTAATTAGCAGTAATGGCACAAGGGAAACACGGCTAGAGACAGAGAGACTGAGAAATGGAGGCCAGGGGCAGGGAATACAGGTGGGAGGTGAAGACAGGCCAGAGGACACGCAGCCTCAGGCAGGGAGGCTGGGGGGGCTCCTCCTGCACCAACCATCAGACCAGGGGTGCTGGAGGCAGCCCCGACAACGTGGATGAGCTGACGGCAGGATGCACGCCAGGTTCTGGCCGCCAGATGTACCTCCCTGATCAATTACCCTTCCCAGCAGATGGCTGAACTCACACGCGATCCAGATCAATGGGCGCTGGACAAGCAAATGGCCCCCAAAGAACAAGACACACCAAAGTAAAAAAAAAAACTGAAGGAAAAAAAAAGAGAGAGAGAGAGAGAGAGAGAGAAAGCTGCCAGAAGCCATCAAGCAGAAAAAATGAGCTTAGATGGGTGCACTAAAAGCACCCAGATAAGAGATTCAGGATGCAGTCAGGGGTCAATAAATGTAACTGGCTGGTTGAATTTTAAAAAGGCAAGTTATTTTCAAAAGAGTAGAAATGTAGCTTGTAGAGTCCTGTCCTCCACCATCACTGATGCCTCAGCTCACAGGCCAGCACCACTGATTCTAGAGGGAGACAGTCAGAGCTGGGAAGTCTGCTTTCTGTGGACAGGTTACTAACATGCAAAAGGACAGAGAGACCTTCAGAAATCTGCAGATCTCTGGAAGTTTATCAGATGAGCACCTTTCCAGCAAAGAATGCCCAGGTGTTTCTCCCAAATCTCCTAGGGTTGAATGAGAGAAAGTATGGAAGTTGTGGACAAAAGTGAGGGGGATCACCCAAATTAAAATGAAGGTTACCAAGGTCAGGAAATAAAAATATGAGCCACTATAATAATTAAATTTAAATCAGATTGGATTAAGTCAATAAAGAGTGAGAAACAATGGAAAAAATAGCCAGTCATCTTAACAAATCTTTTAATTTCACAAGAGAGGAGAGAAAGTGTTTTTTATTAGCCAGGTATAAAAATAGGATTAACAGTGTTAATAATGTATATTTTAGA